AAAAAAAAAAAAAAAAAAAAAAAAAAAAAAATCATGGAAAAAGTTTACCAGGAACACTTTAGAATAGAAGCTTGTGATATTAAGAAACATTACTTCGTACTATTTGGCCCGCTTGACACTAGACAATTATGCTTTTTAATTATTTGTTTTGTTTTGTTTATTAAGATGAATGATGATATTGGTTGATCTCTTGATGCTTATTGGATCACCTGATGCTATGTTGATCACCTAGTTGTCATTCAATAGGAGAGACTGTGCATGAAGACAACTCCTGTTAAAAATATGATTTATAAGCGTGCTTTCATAGCATGGCTATGCTCTCGATATCGACATCCCGATATGAGATTTTTCCTTGGCTATTACTACTATAGCATCGACTAGACGATGCACCCATCTTGATTAGACATGTTCTGGGTCACGGTTATTTTCATAGTTTTACAGAAGTCGTTCCACGGTAACTCTGTGATTAGTGCACAACATTTCATGCACAGTCATTTAAAAGTTAATCGACAAACAAGGGGTTTATAAAGGGGAATTAGATGAAGAATATAACATGTATATAAACGGGCATATGCGCATTCCTGATATCCTGAGTTATATACATACATGGGCCAAAGAGCAAATTCCTGACTTGAAGCCGTGTTCCCGGGACGGTTTACGGGGAACCGATTTATATACATGAAAATATTCTTCTCTAATTCAAATAACATGTAAAAAATAAGAATAATGTGTTTTATGCTTTGTGAAAGATTTGGCATGCACGGTATGACCTGGATGAAGTATGGGTGATGTATATTGATATTGTTATGTATAGAAATTTTGGGAGTTAATATTTAGAGATTTACAATTTGAGATATATGGTATATACGAGGGTTTCGTTGTTTGGATTATTCCCTCGACGTACAAATCTCGCATGTTGTGGGTTTCAAAATCTTACCTCCTTTTAGTATAGGGTATAAGATGTGTGCTTTAGGGTAGACTTTGTTGATATACATGTTTAGGAATTTTCCTTTATCATCTTTAATTGAGTTTTCATCTTATTTTGACCTATAAGAGTAGCATTTTATTTTATCACTGAATCTTTAGAATTCATCTTTCCTTTATATCTACCACTTATACTTACACATGCATAATTTTCTCATTTTACATGCTTGCTGGGTGTTTTCTGACTCCCCTGGGGTTTGCATACCCCAGACTCGGGAATTGTTCTTTCTTCGCAGGACCAAGAGTACTTTAAGGATTAAGACCAGCGATAGTGATCACCTTCTCTCTCTTCACTCTCTCAGCTTCAGTTATTTAGTCTTTCTTGTAATCACTTGTGGTACTCCAGACTAAGATGTATTTTTCCTCTTTCCTACTTTGCAAAGTTGTGGACATGTAAGAGAATTTGTCTTTTCAGAGTTTCTTTATCTATCTAGTTCCTTTGTTATTTTAGTTGCATGCTCTATGTAATAGTTCTTTTAGCAATATATCTGTATACAGGATGATCCAGAGGCGTGAATGTAACCGTATGGTTGCATTGCCGACCGAGTCACGCTCCAAATTATCACGTTTTGGACCCGGGGCGTGACAAATAATTTTCAGTGTTTGGCTTATAAATGAATAGAATTTAACCAAATGTACGTTTGATTCGGTAGTTCATTAACTATTCGATTCGATAACTTTTTAATAGAATTTAACCAAATGTATGTTCGAAAGTTCATTAACTGTTCAATTCGGTAGTCCTATTAATTGAACTTATTGCAAATATTACTTATATAAATTTTTATTTACAAATGCTACCCGTATAAATAGGTAAGAGTGGGTTCTAGGGCTAGGGAAGTTAAAATGTTTAAGTTCAAGAAGTGGAGTAAGTCAATTGTGTGGAAAATTGAGCAAATATTTACTAAATTATATAGAAAAACCTCTATTCCTCTTCGCGGTCTGATCTCCAGATCCTAATTAAGATCACGTGCTTATTAGTAATTAAAAGTAAGCTAAATATAAATCTATCGTACCATATGAAAAAGGGGGCAGTTGGCACAGAGATCATCTAGAAGCTTGTTGACATACTGTGAAGTTGAACATTCGGATTCCTGTGTCCAATACGCTTTTTAAGGCCTCTAACGACCTCCTTGGCTAGTTTGTTTTACATAAAGCAGGTAAGAACTAAAACGTAAGGCAAAACCAGAAGTGATCTATTTAGTCCAGATAGACATATGGAGGCATTTGTTTTGCCAAAATATAGAAGGAAAAGAAAATTCATGTTTATGGACAAAGATTTGACTGAGTGAATGCACTCTTCACGTTTTTTAATTGCTCTTTGACTGATAGAATACAATCGTGATCACCAAGCTAGTTTGTATACAAATATTTAACTG